TCCGTTTTTCAATAGAAACATCATAGTAACAGTACTTAATAGTACAAATTGGCTTTTCATATCTGCCATACATACTATGAACTGATTAAAATAGGCGTGGATGAAACTAATCAGCGATTTCTTCGCTTATTGTCTGAACTGAATGTAAGTATGAACAGTAATTACAGCAAAGAGATCTTTCGCTCATCTCCAGTAATAGACTACGTATGAGCAAGGAAATAAGACCCTAAAGTTGCGTTCATTTTGTCGATCTATCAGATACTGTGAGTTTTCAGCAACGTTCAAGAACTGAGAAATATGAACTTGTAAGTTGTTGATATACTATCAACCAAGTTATGATAATTCCTTGAGAGAAACGAGAATCAACCATTAGTTCTGTCATAGTTTCGGCATTCATAAAAGCCAAAATGATGCTCTTTATGCAATAGTTTTTACACCTGCATGTTTATATTCAGAAATTCCTAAAAGATATGAATCTAAGAGCAAAATATATCAGGTGAATGTGTAGATATTGATGTTAGTTTCCTCTTCATCTACACCCACACCAACATTATCTATCAAAATTTTTGTTTGAATACGACGACCAATCTCAGTTAAATCTATTCAAATACACTATTGATTATATTCTTCAATGATTTCATTTGTATATAGCTGTTGGTCGTGAATAATCAACTAACTATTGACAATGATACTTCTGATGTAGTGTCAGACAGCTTGATAATCAGCCAAATATAATGTTTTGATGACTTTTCAGCAAAAAATGATTTATGAGTCATTCTAAGAAGAAATAGATTTCTTTTTCTTTAAGTTCTGCAGCACAGCCAATGTGCAAACATGTTTGCGTGTGTTGTTCGGCGTTTCTGAAGCAAAGTATTTTATCTTATCAAAGTTTTCATGAAGGTCTTGTGATTTATATGGTGGATATAAAAAGCTGAAAGGAAGAGTGCAAATAAGAAAAGGAGACAGTTAAAAAGAAATCAGAAAAAGGAAGAAAACATAACATTGATGTTTTAGTGCGGCAGAACTTTGCTCACAAGAACTCAGAAAGATACCACTACGGGTTTCAAGCAAGCAAAAGTTCACGCAGTTACTTCCAAAGACGTAAGACAATCGAATGACATTGAGTTTCCAGTGCTCGAAATGATTATTACTACGGCAGATGCATCTCAAATTCTGAAGACAGACGATGATATCATTGAAAAGTTTGTATCGAAACAATCAAACAGAGCAATCGAGGAGAAGACGTCACTGGATGAGGTTGGATCTGAACGCTCATACAAAGCAGATGAGGAACATTTTCCACTAGATGAAATCAGACCTGATCGATCGGCCGATGTAACAGAGGAACATAAGGTATTTGATGAGCCTCAATCTGAGCACTCTAACGAACTCGATGAATCGCTATCGAAACATATGATACGTGACGAGTCAGAATCTAAGCGGTCATACAAAGTAGATGAAGAGTACATGCAACTGAAAGTAGTATCTCCAGATGTTGATCTTACTCCAGTTGATGGAGAAGCTTTCACACCAACGATATGTCAACAGCGACAGGCTGCTATCAACAATATGTCCTATCGACGCACTATTGATCAATGGCAACCAGCGTCACTTGAACAGTTGATCGACTTTATTAAAAGTCTATCTGTAAACAAAAACGAAGTTGACAAAGCATGAATTATTTTTTATTGGATCTCTCAAAATATTCGATACGATACAAATGCTTACTTTAATAATAACATTGGTTCACAAGCATCCACCAATGTATTTCTTAGTCGTAAAGCAGTATGTGAAGCCTATTCAACCTTATATGCAGACTTATGCACTCGAATTGGACTCCAGTGTCATCATGTGAGTGGTTATGCAAAAGGATATGGGTTTAATCCTCGCCAAACAAACTTTGAAAAGGCAGATCATGCATGGAATATTCTCTCGCTCAAGCATGGGCACTCTTACTTTATTGAATCGACTTGGGATTCAGGTTATTTGAACGCTTCAACACACCAATACAAAGCAAAACTAGCGCCTCACTATTTCTTCTGTCGACTTGAACATATGATATATGGTCACTTGCCAGAAGATCCTCAATGGCAATTGCTCGAACATCCATTAACAATGAAACAATATTTCATGCTACCTCATATACACGAAACATTTTTTGAACTCAATTTAAATATTGTATCACCCGTCTATACGCACAAAATTACTCTTGAGCCAGGACAATCATATGGGGAAGTACTTATTGCAACATCGACTGATGGTGTTGAACTATCTGGATCGTTACGTGATAAATCGGATACGAAAATTGAAGGTGGTGATTTCGTGTACTTTGATCATGATCAAAATTTGTGGCGATGTCGTTTTGCTCCACAAAAAGTCGGTAATCACCCAATTTTAATATTTGGTGGTAAGAAAAGTAAGGCAAACAAATCGACTTTGAGTTGTGCTGTCGAATTCAACTTTGATATTGATCACCTTTCTACAGCAACCATTTCATATCCTATCACATCGTCACATTTTTTCAGTTATCATCTTCAAATTGTCAAGCCAATCAATACTTGTTATATTGATTGGTCATCAGACAAGAACTTTCCCTACTGTAAAATTCTAGTTCGTTCTCCTAATGATGTTCATCTTTCCGCAACGGTGGCAGATAGTATCACTGGTATGAATATAGAAAATGGAACATTGGTCAATTTTAATAGCCAAGAATCACTCTGGCAATACCTTTTTGCTCCAGCTGCTAGTGATGCGTCATATAAATTAACATTATTTGCGCGATATGTCAACGAAAATCAATCCCATTGTTTTGCGCAATTCTATTTGCAACGAATTGATAAATCCATGCTTCAAAATTACAGTCTTCTTCCGTTTACCTACGGATCTTTTCACGAGGCAAAATGTCATTTGTATGAACCACTCGATGGAATACTAAAACGTGGATCAAAAATACGATTTCACTGTCGAATTCCTGATGCTCATGAGATGAATATTACAGTCGATGGGCAATGATTGAAAGGTGATTCAGCATCATACATGAACGAGAATTATATATTCCAACGTAAAATTCAATTAAGACAGAAGGAAGTGGCTGTATGGGTGAAATTCAACAAGTAAAAGTCGAGCTATACAGGACTATTAAAGTATTCGGTTAAATAATGTAAACAAATGATAATATTTCCTAATAAATTTCGTACTTTCAAAAGATCTTCACTCAACCATTAAGCAGCCTCACCTGCCACACATCCGTTGTAGACCGGATCAAACAATCATTCGATTAATGAAATTCTCACCAAACATAAAACTCTCACTCAGATTTCCGTGTTGATCGAAAGACAAACGATCACTATCGTTTTCAAATTTTTTCCTACGTATTGAAATTCGACTGTTCAAAGGACATGAACACGAGTATTGCTGCTATTAGATATTAACATAGTTTCAAGATCAACTTGTTGCGCAAGACCGAGAAGAGGAAAGATAGTTCTCATGAGAAATGCAACCGATTAGTTCGACAAATTCAACTTGTCATATATGAAAGGAGAACATCAAAGGAATACTGTTGTCTTTTTGCGATGAGCAACACTGTGAAATAAAAGGTTTCAATAAAAATTTTCTATAATACGATTGAAATGTGAGTCATTTCATGCTACTGCAGAGAAAACAACAAGAGAATCAAATATGTTTGAAGTGCTAGTTAATCTTACGAGAATTGAAATATTTTGATGTAAAAAAAGGAATTAACTCGTTATTAACACTTTGCACAGTATATATATATATATATAGAACTTTGATATGAGTGTTTTATTTTTTCAAAATGAGAAGTCATATTCATTCTTATCCATTTAATATCCTATATGTTTTTTAACGAACTGAAAACCAACTCGAAGCTGGTCTATTTGTTGTATATAAACTAATACATCTGTAAGTCGTAATATTCCCATTAAAAAGATGTCTAGATTAAAGATAAATTTTATTTTAAATTGAAAAATATTTTCAAATAAAGAAAGTCCTTTTAAATTCTCTTACAAAGTAATGAAACACATCTAAATCCTTGGATTTATCGATTTAATGCCATCTTCTTCAATATCAAATTGCCATTCCTTCTCATGTATTTCTACTAAACCTTGATATGGCCATTTCAATTCCAGAGTTTTTCCATCTATAGTCTCAGCCTGAATTTTATAGATATTCTTATCAATGATGAGATGTGCATCGAGATAGGCACGTGTTTCAGCAAAGTAATGACCACCGTTTGGCTCCAATTGATTCATACGTATAATTTCATGTTCATGATGTTGATTTTCACCGCAGTAGAAAATTTTCAGATTGATCGGATGAGATGTACGATTGTAGATATGAGCTGAATGGACATAGTATTTTTGTTTTAACGGCATATTATGTAGAGAAATATTGTATATGTATTTTTGTGTAATTGACTATAGAAGAAGCGAAAGAAGATATGATAGTTGTCTAGTGCGTAGAAAACGATATTTGTATGTACAACAGTTGCAGGAAAAGAAAAGAAAAGAAAAGTGCTATTTTGTACACTGCCGAGAAAGAGACAAAAAAAGAACCTTTCTTGCGTTCTGTGATATTATATATATATATATGAGATGAAAGAGAAGTGGTTTTTACGCTGATAACGAGAAAGACAAGAGTATTAGTGGACATGTTGAAGATGAATTCGAACTTTGTTATTGACAAGTACAAAGTTGTCCTGTAGGAAATGTTTTTTCCAACAATTCATGTGGTTCATAACAGATTGAACGAAACCTTTAGGAATACCTACATAGACCTTACATTGACAAAAAGTACACACTATCCTTTTCAAACTATCTATTGACGGAAACGTACGCTTACTAAAGCCAAAGAAGTTGCAATCAATAAAATTAGTTTGAATTTGTCAACGAATACCTACTTGAGTCACTTTACCTTCGTACATCGTTTTATGCATTTGAAGTACAACTGAATATTTTCGTGATATCTTTCAAAGTAGTTGATAACTGATTTGAATTTGAGAAAATATTGTTTATGTAGCAGAGTAGACAAATGACGACATACTTGTTAACACTGAAATCTATGTAGAAAAAATTTTGTCAATATGTGACTTCTATGATTTTAGATCTAGTTCCAAAAAAATCCTGCTAACTCAGAGCCATCGTTCAACTCTCTAATATTCTATAACATGTGATCATTTTCGAACATAGCAAAGCGCAAGCTTATGATGAAAAAGTGTGTAGAAATTATCAATGATGAATCTCGACGACAATTAATATTGAAATTGATAGAAACCAGATAGGTGGTGCAATAAGAAAGTCACAGAACGGTGTTGAACACACACGTTGACATGTACAACAGAAGTTTTCTTTTTGCCGAGATATCTTTAAAAAATTAATAATATTTAAAACGACTCTTTATTGTTTTAATAAATATTGAACAAGAATAAGGCAACAACTACTGAAGAAAAATTTTACTATTAAAGACAATGAGATGCTTGATAGATGTCAAACTAAAGATGTTAGTGCAAAACTGCCGTATCATTCTGACCTCAATTATACTACGTATTAGTTAACTAATTACGAGACAACCATTGCACTTGAAGATGAACGATAAGTATAAAATATACTTTTAACTAGGTAAAATACGAACATGATTAGAACTTAGTCTATTACATAATTTATCTAACATGTGATCAGCGTTTTTAAAAAATCTACTATTTCTCGATTTTCTTTGTATTTTCAACTGAATATCATCTCTGAACTCAATTTAAATTGAAACAACTCTATTACGTATACGATTAATTTCATGAATAGAATAAATGCTGTATCGATAGTCATTCATTGATTATCATAAGACTATAAAGACACAAATCATTTCCACAGGTCATACAAGATTATTATTCTCATTTACGAAATAATTGCCTAGTAAAGTTAACATCAAAATGTTTATTTACCAGAAAATACATAAATTAGCACAGGATTGTGACATTCCTTTCGAGATTTTCCAAAAATGAAGACCTATTACTATATTGATACTTTAACAGACGAATTGTATAAGTTTGATAGTGTCCAAATCGAGCATCTTCTTTTTGAAGAACTTTTTTCACTGCAGTGTCCTGGTATTTCTTCATTGATAACATTGAAAATTAAATAACCATCAGCTATTCGCAGTTTATCAGTCAAAAATTCTTGATTCAATATCTTATAATGATGGTGTGAGTGTCAAGGTGTGGATGTGTGTGGGTTTATGTGCTGATCTAATCTCACCCACACCCTTATTCACTAGACGATCAGATTGTGCACTGGAGTTTGCATATAGAAGAAAATCTTTTTTGTACCTGATGAAGAATAACGAACATAGGAAAGATTAATGAAGCATCATCTGTTTATCCTTTATAATCGATAACGTAGATGATATTTTATCATCAGCAAATGTTATTGGAAATGATGGAAAATATGGACGGGAAGTTGTTGTATTCGTAGCATGACTTGAGGGGTGAAGTGAATTTTCATTTGAACTCTGACGAAAGGTGCTGTTGTTAAGGTATTGGTTGGATGCATTGACCCTTCTGTATCCGATTTCAAACAAGTCGTCACGTTTTATTCTTTTATCATATATTATGACTTGGTTGTTGTTGGTGTGCTATTTCTGCATCAGTTTTACTGATGGAAGTTTGCTTGTAATCACTATTAGTGGCACTAATTTGATCAGGCTTATTGCCCCTGAAATTCATCATTAGTATTATTAATTAGGATGAATCACTGTCGCGTGGAATACAAACCAATATATTATATCATCAGTTTGCTATTTTTAAAGAATGAATCACATCTCTAAACAAAATTTATCATCAATCATAACACACTAGGCAATGCCAGCGAACTTAAACAAGATTTGAAGAACCTTGCTCTGCGTTTCATACGAGAATTAATTAATTTAGTAAATAATAACGAAGAAAAAACAACGAAAATAAACCGGAATCCAGGCTACGAGCGTCTGGTATAAATCGAAGAATTCTTTTGAAAGTTACACTAATGCGATAAGAGAGTAAAGAAACATGTTTTGATCACAAATACCTAAAAATATTATTTTGCAATATTACAAGCAAAAGTGCAAGTTAGTTTCGCATTTAAGTTGCTAGAAGGACGACACTAATGAGTTTTTCATGTTTTTATTCTTTCGTTTTTATTTATTTCAAATAAAGTCTCGTCGAGATTCTGCTATAGAGTAGAAGTATACAATCACTTTTTGTCAGTGTATCTTATTGTTCAGATCTATTTTTGAACAGACCAGACAATATGATTATTATTATATTCATTATGAGAGATCCGTCAAAGTACTCATTTCTCATCATCAACCATGTTTAAGACTTTCAATGTAGTATCAACAAAAATTAAACGAATATTATCAAAGACATATTTGATCAGCTATTTTCTGTTGAAAACAAAACTTTATTTTAATCATGTATGTAGTAAAAAGTGCTTTTTTTTACTATAAATTATCTTCTTGCTCCTACCCATTACTAAAATAAAAACATATGATTGGTAGTTTTCATACTACTTTACACAACAACCCATGTAAATAACAAAACGTACAACAGATGAGTTCAAACAGGTTCAGACACGTTTCTTATCTTCATCAGAGATGGGCACAGAACAGAACAGATTATTAAGCAGAACTTGAATAAATCTTATTTTGACTTTCGTTCACCAACTTACATATAGTTTGTCAGTTGTCTTAAATATAATTTATTTCGTATCATTTTCAAAATATAATAAGTAAAATTTTCAATATTGACTAATAATATAAATACAAGAAAACATAGAGACATCTGGATTTATTATTTTAACTTTTCTTAGCCAAATATTGCTGCTTTCGTTCGCAATGGTCAAAGTAATGTACTATATCATATTTTCATGGGAGCATATATATATATCATAGGGAAAAGAATATCCTTCTTCCCATTAACGGGAAGATATCCGGTGTACTTGAATCGGGCGAGGTATGAATCTTCCAAGCAGCTTCTACTTCTTTTGCATCAACTTTTTTTCTGGCAAAATTGAAGTATTCTAGTTTTGTAGCGCTCGTCGATTTGTGCAGAAATTGATGTGATTTTCATTCGATTTATAGGTGAGTCACAACAGAGCGGGATCAAAAGTCTATTTTATTCAAAACTATCCATGAATTCTGTCGGTTTTATTCTTTATGAATGTTCGTTCGAAATTTCGATTTAACGGTTAGATAGAGTCTAAGACCTCGTCTATGCAAGATAATTTTCAGAACTGCGTAGGTCTCTAGAACTCATTCATTGGTGAGATTTTCAACTTGGGGAAAAATGATAAATGATAATAAAATTGAACTACCTGTACAATTTTGTCCATTCATTTGAAAAACGTAAACATATTATAATCAAAATAACCGTTATACTATGCTTATTCAAACGCCATGTGGGATGTAGGTATAGGTGTTAGTATGGGTACAGTTAGGTTTCGAAGCTAACTTTCAATAAAATCGACTTGCGAGCCTGCTTTACTGAAGTCTGTCTATCAATCGAATAAAAACCAAATATCAATATCTATACGACCTGATGAAAGCTAAAAGACTAGGATACTTAAATCTTATCAGGGAAAACTCAAGAATAAATTGATTGTGTATTAAAATAAATTCACCCTACGAAGTTAAAATTCAGTTATATCTTAGTTTGGAATGAGAAAAATTTTGAACCACAATAAGTTTCTGATATATATGCATGACTTTTGATTATTAGTTCGCATGTTAAAGTATGACTATCATTACTTAAGGTGATTATTCAATGCATCTACCGGGATAGATTAAACATTATCGTAACATGATGTAAATGTCGATTGATTTCGAATCTTAGATGGATTCAGTTTTAATTTAAAAATTTGCTTTGGCACGTATAAAGTAGCTTCTAGAATCGAAAACATTTCATTTGAGCTATTTCTGGACACTTCCATTCCCCACGTTTCGAGGACACATCTACCACGATTCAGACATATTTTAACTACAAAAGTATTTGTATGAAAATAAGATTAATCTCTTATAGAGAAATTATAAAAAACAACCTTTTCTTCGTTGATTTAGTACTTGTTTCCTTTTTGAGATTTATTTATTCTGGATCGATTTATTCTAAGAATAGTCTTGAGCATAAACTAGTAAATTCTACAGTATAGGGTGTGTGGTGTGGGTGTGGGTGCAGGCGTGGGTGTAGGTGCGGGTGTGGGTGTAGGTGCGAGTGTGGGTGGGTTTGGATGAGTGAGGGTGTGGGATGTGGGTGTTGCTGTGGGTAGGTGTCGGTGTGGATGTGGATGTGGATGGGGTGTGGGTGTGGGTGTGTGGTTTTGGATCTTCTATTCTTCAACACTCACACCCACACCCCCACAGCCCATGCCAACACACACCCACACATCCGCACCCACCAACACACCCACACCCATAACAACAACCCATACACCCACACCCACACCCACATCCACACTCACACCCATACACCCACACCGACCTTCCACACCGACCTCCCACACCCTTATTTCAGATATGATGATTTTAAACTAAAACTAAGTGTTTTAGTCTCTTCAGAATAGACCTCTTGTTTGAGTTCGAATTTGAAAAGAATCTGAGTAATTTGAACAAGATGTCTTCATATCTGGTAGAAGCGAGCTGTTCACTATCTTTGCTGATTGTTGATAAGGATCATATATTCTAATCCAGCACTGGTGAAAATGAAAAATGAAAATGTAAACTCGGAATGTGGATGCGAACAAGAAGGACACCTCATCCACACCCTTTGTATCATTGATGAGATCAATACATCGACACCCACACTCACGAAGTCCGAATGATCCTGATTGTAGTTAAAAAACTTTGTAATGGTAAATTTTCTTTTCTTTTAGATAAAAGTGACACGTGTTGTCAGTATACTTTCCTTGTGCAAATACATTATTCGTCATATTCGGCAAAAGCGTTTTTTTTTCTGCTGTTCGAAGGTTGTAAGACTATTTATTCTTGATGAAAGCAAACATATTTTGGAAGTTGTCGCATAACTAGTAATATGAAGAGACTGATGATAGAAGAGAAAAGAAAAATTGTAAAACAATCGCACTACTGTGAAGGAGTAAAAATATTACTTCGCCATTACTTGTGAGTGAATTAGAGTTATTTTTATAATTCGAACTTACGTGTGTTGCAACAAATTGCAATTCTTTCACTTTACCTATTCATGACTGATTCAATGTCGCAACCAATCTTTAGCCATGAAGAGAACAAGGAGAACACTACGCTCCTGTGGTTCGACCCAAAAATTGATTCTCATACTGATACTATGGTCACCATGCAACGACTCCGTGAGATCAACAACTATGTCGCTTTCCACACCGAGCTTCAATCATGTCTCACATCCATTCAGTCCAGTCAACAAGAAAAGATCTTCCTAATCACCTCCGGCTCTCGTGCCTATGAGTTGCTGCCATTAGTGGCTCACCTTCGTCAAATAGACTCCATATTTATTTACTGCTTCAGAAAATCTAAATATGAACATCTCACTGCACAATACTCAAAGATCATCGGTATTTATGACAGTCTCGATCCCTTATGTGTCTCAATCCGAGATCAAATTGATGTTGTCGATAAACAACTGCAAACATTCAGCTTTTTTAATCAACATCAGAAGGCTATTAAAGATGTCTCGAAAGAAGCAGCAGAGTTCTTGTGGTTTCAGCTGTTCAATGATGTCATTCTGCGTCTTCCTCGCAGCCAGCAAGCTAAACAACAGATGCTCACTATGTGTCGCCGATATTATCGAGACATTGGAAAACAATTGAAACTCATCGATGAATTCGAGCGTGACTATCAACCAGAAGATGCCATTCGATGGTACTCGAAACAATCTTTCGTCTACCAGCTAGTGAAATAGGCACTAAGAAGTGAAGACATTGATCAGCTGTATATATTTAGATTTTTCATCGGTGATCTTTCGGAGAGTCTAGCACGTGAACATCAAAAGATGATTCAATCGGGTAAGCAATTTATGGTTGTCTATCGCGGAGCAAAATTATCAAATATTGAACTTGATCAATTCAAAAACAAGCAAGGTCAATTGATCTCGACCAATGGATTTTTATCGACCAGTCGAAGTCTTTCTCAAGCACTGAGCTTCGCCATGAAATCTACAAAACGAAGTGATGCAGTGCCTGTTCTCTTTAATATCAAGTGTCATGTGCAAGAGCTAGGCAGCAATGTCATATTCGCCGATATTTCTCATCTGAGTGTATATCCTGAAGAAGAAGAAGTCCTGTTCGATTTGAGTGCAGCTTTTCAAGTTTAAAATGTGAAACATGATGGGAAAGTATGGGTGATCGAAATGAGTGCAACAAGTGAAGGACAAGTGATTATTCAAGACTATCTCGAGGCGACACGTCGTGAAACGGAAGAGCGAAGTGTTGGAATCATGTTTGGTAGACTGATGTGTAACATGGGTCAATATGAGAAATCTCAACGATATTTTGAACAGCTAGTAATCAATTCGAAAGATGAACATCCGGCATGGGTCGAATTTAATATAGGTCGAGCGCTTCACTTCAAGGGAGAATGGAAAAAAGCACGAAAATATTATGATAACGCATACCAGCGAATGATGAATGCCGATCCACCTCGGATAAAAGATTCAGCTTATGTACTCAACAATATTGGTGCTGTGCTGAAAAGTGAAGGAAAATACGATGAAGCTCTTGATTTCTATCAACGAGCACTGATTATACGAGAGAAATATTACCCCACTGGTCATCTTGACACTTCTGCAAGCATTAACAACATTGGTCGTGTGTTCGAAGCTCAAGGAAAGTATGATGAAGCACTTGATTTTTACCAACGAGCGCTAATCATACAAGAAAAATACTATCCGAATGGTCACCCAGATATTGCTTACAGTCTCAACAACATAGGTAATGTACTGAGCAATCAAGGGAAATACAAAGAAGCACTTGATTTTCATTGACGAGCCCAAGTCATACAAGAGAAATATTTTCCTCCTGATCATTCTCATATTGCTACAAGCCTCTACAATATTGGTGGTGTACTGCACAGACAAGCAAAATACGATGAAGCTCTTGATTTATATCGAAGAGCGCTGGTCATACTAGAAAAGCACTATCCTGCTAGTCATCCAGACACTGCTTCATGCCTGAATAATATTGGCCGTTTGTTTAACGATCAAGGAAAATGTGATGATGCCATCGATATCTATCATAAAGCACTGACTATACTTCAGAAGAATTATCTCGCTGGTCATCCTGATATTGCTTTCAGTCTCAACAATACTGGTCATGTACCAGAGATGTCCACCGCGGCTGAAAATCTGCCGCTGCCGCGCCGCGGCCTTATAAAAAAAAAGTTGCCGCACCGCAGCCGCGCCGCGACGGTTTATAAAAAAATGTTGCCGCGGCGCTGCCGCGCCGCGATGGCTTATAAAAAAAACGTTGCCGCGCCGCTGCCGCGATGAATTATAAAATAAACGTGCCGCCGCCGCGCCGCTGCCGCGGCGGTTTACAAAAAAGTGTTTCTAATTTCACTGCTGCGACTATATTTGACCAGAGATATTGGTACTAGTCCATCAGATTCATTCAGTCTCGGGGTGTTTCATTTGTAAACCCTGAAATTCTATTAAATTCATGCAGTTTTTCAATGTTCCCCAAAAAAATCCTGCCGCTGCCGCGCCGCTGCCGCGATGGTCTTTTAAAAAACCTGCCGCTACTGCGCCGCTGCCGCGATGATTTTTAAAAAGTCTACCGCTACCGCGCCGCTGCCGCGGTGATTTTTTTAAAAACCTGCCGCTGCCGCTACAAGCCATCGCGGCAGCGGCGCGGCAGCGCCGCGATGGACATCTCTGTCATGTACTGCATAATCAGGGAAAGTTCCATGAAGCACTCGATAGCTATCGACGAGCACTGAATATGCTCGAAAAATATTATTCCATTGGGCATATTGATATTGCTTCTACTCTTAACAACATGGTTGCTGTCTACGAAAGTTGTAACCAACCCAAGAGAGCACTTGATTGTTATCAGCGATCTTTCGCAATATACCAGAAACTTCTACCTGACAGTGATATAAATCGTAGAAGGATCGAAAAAAATATTCGTCGGCTCTCGTAGAAGCAGTGAAAAAAGACAGATGTAGAACATCTTATATCCCGATTACATTATTGTCTGAAACGATTCACCGCATCATATGGTGTGAGGTATTTTATAGTGTTGTTCACTTATGTTTGATTTTTTTATTGTTTCCTATGTGCATCCATCGTACTTTTTTGTCTTATCTAGTTCATCAATATATATTTAATGCTGGCTTGAATAATAAAAAAATTTTCATTATCAATCAGTTTGATCGTAACTTCCGATAACAGGACATACATCTTCGTGACCAATACAACCACACCTACATCAAATGATTTTTCTAATTGAGATCCGATGTGTAGA